AAACAGAGAGACAGAGTCAGAATAAATGGGGAAGTGTACAGAATAATTATTACAAGTGGCAGAATGTGATAAGTGACATTTAAAAGATAGAACTAAAAAGGTCAGATGGGGGAGAAGATTCTATCTGTTACTGACATCTGGAGTGGCTTCCTGGAGGAGGTGGGTGCCTGCCTGCCTGCCTTTTTAGGTGTTCCAGCAGGTGGAGTCTTGGCAGAAGGGTCGTGGCAGATGGAAGTGATCAGAAAGGGAAGGCTCAGTGAGAGAAGCTGGGGTGCTTCTTCACACAAAGAACCAGATGCCAGGGTTTATTGAAGTCAGAAAGAATCCTGAGACTGCTCAGAACTTGGGGACAAGTGACACTTGGATATGAGCACACTTGAGATTCAGCTCCTGCAGGGCCCAGCTTCTCTGCATATACCTCCCTGGCCATACAGAGCCTCCTGGGGCCACTATAGGAGCTGTGGTGTGTTTATTTGGTGGCTATCAGGAAACCTGCTCTCAGACCAGCAGGGGACATCTTGTGTGTTGAGGTTCTGCATTTGTCTTCTTTCTGTGTCTCAACACTGCCTGGAAGCCCAAAGCCGTCGACCCCTCAGTCTCCCAAGACCCTACTTGCTGCACTCTGGGCTGTGCCCTCAGTCAGGATGGGCCTCAGAATGACTTTGGTTTGACAAACTGGTAAGAAAGTTTTAGAAACAGCATGTTTCTTCTACTTAGAAAAAAAATTTTCTGATTCTACTTTTCAGCTACATCTTTAGATTCACCTTCCCACAAGCCCTTAGCGTGAAATCCAGTGGGTTATAGATTTCCTGAGCAAGTGACAGATGCTCCTTTGGTGCTGTCCAGAGTTAGTGGTATTCACCCAGCAAGTATTGCTTGTAGTCCCTACTGTAGTACATTTAATTCTTAAGTTATGCAGTAAAAATCCTTGCCTTGGAATTGTGCACCTGAAGGCCTAAAGTCTATAGTAGTGGCAGTGGCAGTGGTCCTGTTCTGCTAATGTCCCATAGTTATGTAAATGTCCTCAGTGGGAAATCTGGAAGGAGATTATATGGGAACAGGCTGTACTAGTTTTATAAATTCTTGTGAGTTTGAAATGATTTCAAAATAAAACAGTTTTTTTACTAGCAAGCAGAATCAATGAGACTATAGAGTGCAGTTGTTTTCCATTTATAATTTTATCAGTAGCCTCCCTCTTTCGTTTTCTTCCATCCTCATCCTCAGCATCCCAGTGCCTCTTGACAACTGTAGACCACTGTAAAATCCCATTTTTAAAATGCTTTCTCCACCTACAACTTCATGGTCCAGATAAGGAGATCAGGGCCCTGAAAAGGAAAAGACATCCCTCCTCAGTGGCTATTGATAGAAACACAAAGCCTAGGAGACTTTTAATTCCATTTTCTCTATGCAAATCATCATGAGTCACAGTTCTCTAGTTCACACTGATTTCTTTTGTCAGACTAGGTGAGTTTAATGAGACTGGAAGAGTTTCCTGCCTTCTACTCAGTGGACGGAGAGGGAATCGTTGTACAGGGTGGTGGTCTGGGTCGACCAGAAGTCTCACATGAGCCACTCAGGGCTCTTGATGAGTGGTCTCCTTAGAAGCACAGGCATGCAGTTCAGGGGGCAGGGAAATGGGCCAAAGAAAGGCTCCCCTGGCTTCTACTTGCTGACACCAGTGAGGACTACCATTGACTGTCTTCCCTTTTCCTTCCATTCAATCCCAAGTCACTGGATTATTTTGGGGAAACTTTAGACACCTTTAAGTTTGTTTCCAAAGACAATATAATAATAATGTCTTGTCCAGTGTATTTTTCCAGTGATTTTTGCGTGGCCCTCATCCCTAGCTGCAGGCTAGTTTTATTTCTGCTTTCTGAATAAGTGACACACATGCCTTTTCAGGGTCACAAAGTTGTTTCAGGGCAGGAGTCAGAATGCAGTTCTTCAGAATCTTGCTCTTTTTACAAGAGACTGGCTTGTTCTAAACAGCGACCTTGATAGTTGTAAAGTATCTGCATATACTTGATAACCAACAAGCAGATGGTATTATTACTGCTGTTGTTGTAATTCATAAGCAGGATCCTTGGCCCGTGTGTACTTTTAGGACACAAAGGACTCCAGGACTTGGTGGCTCTCCAGATTCACACAGGAGGTGGAAACAGTGGTTTTTCCTGTCTTCTACTCCTCCCAACGGTTAAAGCCTAAAGATGCCATATGGGTCACAGATGAGTAAAACTTAGGTTTTCCTGAAAAGTAAAGCATGTTGCCTGTGTGCCACGTCAGTAGAGATCTACGGGACAATCAACTGGCAGGACAGCCACCCTGGGGCTACCTGGCACACACATACTCCGAGGGACTTTGAGTGAACTGACAGTATTTATTTACTGCCAGTTGTTGATGCCTCCTTTCTGCAGAAAAACTAGTTGCTTCCTTTCCTCTAGCATCTTCTTTGCCCTCCACGTTGTAGGACACAACCTTTGCTGTCAGGATGGGTACTGTTAATTGGTGCTGACACTAGCCTGTGCCTTCAGCATTCTGCCTCACATCCTGGACATTGGGAAATTCAGTGGGCTACTTTAAGAATGGAAGTCTAAGTCCATATCTCACTCCATATTTACAGCTGCCACTTGCTAGGAAAAATCCTCTTTTGAGGAGGATTGTGATTTTTCCACATCCATAGAGATGTTTAAAAGATAAACTTGACATGCTTCAAGAACATTGTTAATTAATTGCACATATATTCACCTAGTGCCTGTTAGGCCCTGACTAAATATCTGTTGAATGAACTTCTAAAGTGGTGGTTCTGTCTTTAGTGTGCCTGCCCATCTTAGAATTGCTGGCAGGGCCTGTTAAAACAAACCGGAGGCCCTTTCACTGAGTTTTTGATTCAGTGTCTCTAAAGAGAAGAAATGTAATTTATATTTCTAACAAGTTTCAGAAGATGTGATTTGATATAGGGAGGGCCCCTTGAAAACCATTGTCCTAAAGCAGGAATTGGCAAGCTTTTCCCATAAAAGAAGTAGAATTATAAATATTTCAGGCTTTGTGACCAGCCCAGTCTCTGTCGCAACTGCTCATTTCTGCCATTTTAGCCACAGAAAATAGGTAACTAAATGAGTGTGACCATGTTCCAATAAATTTTATTTATAAAAACAGGTAGTGCATTTGTTTAAAAAAAATTGCCACAAAATAAAATTTTAAAAGATGGATGAACCAGATCCTTATTCTGGATAGGTCTCTGAAAACTCTGGATGAGAATGAGATGCTGGTCAAATCCCAGTGATGGCATTCATGAGCCACTGTGGGAAAGTTATTAACATCTCTATAAAATGAGGTAATGAGGGTATAATGACAATAGGGAGGAATTCTCGCTTTTTATCGAACCTGGGTGGTGTATCCAGGAGTGTTTGGCTTATTTTTCTGTAGTCTTTAGACTGTTCTGCTTGGGGGGGGGGGGCTCAACCAAAAGGTGAATTAACTTACAGTTGAAGCCACCTTTGGAATTCTCATGGATCCCCACACCGAGGCTCTTAGAAAGTCAAAGACAGGAATGGCCTTCTTTGTTTCTCTTTGCCTCAGAGAAGCACTGGATTAGAGGAGAGCCCAAGCATAATATGTCCAAAACTAAGCTATCAATCTCTTGCCCTCCCCAAACCCTGCCCCTCTGGGGTCTTCCTCCATTTGGTTAATGGCAACTCTGTCTTTCCAGCTGCCCAGGTCAGAAAGAGTGATTCAGGAGGAAGCATTTAATGAGGATGTGTCCTGATACGGCCATGCTGAGTATGAAATTGTTTTGTACTTCAGTAGAACATGAAGATTATTTGGCTCAACCTTCTCCTTCTACCTAATAGTGAACAGAGTCCTAAGAACTTGAAGCCCACCTCCTCTATGCGCATGGCACTCACCCTGCATACAGCATTCTTCTTAGTAATTTTAAAAAATTGATTTGTTTTGTCCTCATAACAACCACAGAAGAGGTGCTGCTGGTTTCCCAGTTTGCTGGTGAGGCAGAAGGAACAATTCATTTGTCCTTTCAAGGTCATGCTTCTGGGCAGTAGCAGTACTCAAGCCAAAACTCTAGAATCCAGGCTCTTAACCACTATGGTATGCTATGTATTGCTTCCCTGTCTGTAATCTCCTTGTAAATTGAGGAACAAAAACTTTACTTAGAAAAACAGCTGTCTAGTTGCACCTTTTGCATTTTGTATGGTCTGTAGGTAATGAACTTGCAGTGGTGCTAGAGAAGGGTATTTCACTGCGTTCCCAGTTTTCATCTGATCCAACCATGCCGAGTTTCTCCGTGCAAACTTGAATAGCGCTTTGGACATAGTGCTAAAGCAGCAAGGGGTCCCCTTCAGTTTGGGTGTATATCTGGTTTCATAGTATATTGTGTTTCTGAAAAACTTGCACAAGAGACTTCCTGGGTCATTCTTTAAAGACAACCGAGTTTTGTGCTTCCTCTTTGCCACAGTCTGTGCTAGGCACTAGAGAACCAGGAATATTGGATCTTTAAAATTCTGTGGTTAGCTGGATGTGGTGACACATGCCTATACTCTTAGCACTTATTCTTTCTCCCTCATCACAAGTTTGAGGCCAGCCTGGGCAATTTAGTGAGACCTTGTCTCAAAACAAAAAATAAAAAAGAATTCAGGATTCAGCTCAGTGTGAAGGTCCTTGGTCATTCCCACTGCTATAAAACAACAACTATAAAACACTGCACTTGCCCTCAAAGGCATTGATAATAATAGGCCAGAAGTGAAAGGTTTGGTGGAAACTTTGGTAATATGCAAATTATACCTGAAAAGAGAGGAAACGTGGGTATTTGTTACATTAAAACATAAGGTGGCAAGAAGTCACTGCTACCCTTTGTGTGACTCCACAGAATAGTACTCCATCCAGTATCATCAAACCCTGATGATGAGGATGGGTCTGAACTTGGGTAATCCAAAAATATGGCCCTTTCATGCCTGCAATGAACATTGTATTTTTTTCTCCCCCAGGACCCCAGGAGCAAGCACAAGTTTAAAATCCACACATATGGAAGTCCCACCTTCTGTGATCACTGTGGGTCACTGCTGTACGGACTTATCCACCAAGGGATGAAATGCGACAGTAAGTAAGTTTTCTTTTCCAGTAGATGGTGAAGCTCTGCAGTTCATGCCCTAGCTTTACTGAATGCTGAAGTTTCCATAACTTCTCAACACAAACTCACCAAGAGGGAGAGTTGATTCAGCTGCAGATCAGACTGGAAAAGTGTAGAATCTCTCTACTATCCAAGTTCTGGTTTATTAAACTACTTACTTACCTAATTAGGAACTTATAAAAGGGACTTGGTTTATAAATGAAGTTAGTGTCACTTTTTTTTGTAGTAGAAATCTTCAACCCCTTAAAATGCAGGCTAGTCAAACCCCAAAGAAGACTCCCCACCTCCAGATTCCACATTTGGTTAAGCTTCAAAATAAGCTAAGCACCCTAGTCATTATCTTCCTATGTCTCTAATTAGTGGGTGGACTGTGGAAAAATCCAGTAGGCTCTCCTTAAAACTGAAGCCCAAATGAACAAAAAAAACCAGGATAGCGTCTTACTTAAGTTCACTCATTCTGCCTTTTCATAAACAGATCAAGTTTACATCAGTTTAGTTCTACATGACCAGTGATGAAAAAGACACAAGCCCTTTTTTTTTGCTCTTGTGTGTATCTCCATCAAATATCAGGAGGAAAGAACAACACTATGGAAACTCTTTGTTTTGATAATTCTTCAATTATGGGATTCCCCAGGCTATTCATTTAAATAAAAGTTTATACTTTTAGGACATGAAAAGGCAAGTACTGAGCCCTGTTTCTCTGACAGACAGGCAAATATTATGGCAATTTCAGCCCATTCTCATTCATTAATGACTACAGTAATGGCCCAAAGCTGTCTATTTGTTTTCTAGATGGAACAAGCACTGTACACAAAAATTAATGTATGTGAATATTATGGAATAGATGGAGATTTCCTTAGAACACTGAGATTGTTCACCTTATAAAATTGTACAGTTTAACAGCCTAATGAAATCTTGTCACTCAGGCCAATAGCCTTCTGTGCTTCAAGAAACCCCAGGATTCCAAAGACAGTTTGTAGGGGTTATACAAGTACATTTGTAAATGCATTTTTAATTATTTTAAAACTTGGAACAAAAATGAGTACACAAATGTGTTACATACATAACAGTCTTAATAAAGCTAGAGGGACACTGGAAAGCTTATACTGTCAGCCTCATTTATGCAATCAAGTTTCTGCTCTTGCATGCACTTAGCTGAAGAGTGCCCAAGGCTGGTCAGGCAGGCTACTCTGCACTGTTCTCCTATACATGTTCTCTTCTGTTGGACACAGAACTTATGGGTGCTGGGCAACCATAACAAAACACAAATGAAATGTTGAGGCACTCAGAGATATTGTCTAGTTATTTTCTGTTGCTATAATAGAATACCTGAGATGGATATTTATAAATATTAGAGGTTTATTCAGCTCACAGTTCTAGGGGCTAAGAAGTTGAAGGGCATGGTACAAGAATGCAGGAGGACTTTCTTGTTGCATCATAAGATGACAAGAGGGCCTCATGTGGAGTCAGAGCAAGCTGCCAGCTCAGATCTCTCTCTTCCTACAAAGCCATTAATATGATCATAGGGGCCCCAGTCTCACAGACTCATCTAATCCTAATTCCTTCCCAAAGTTCCTGCCCCCAAATACCATTAACATGGATTTGAAGATGAAGTTAATAGCTAATAGCTTATTTTATAGTTGTTTTTTTTTAGGTTAGAAGAGTTTATTTTTGAATGTGCTTATAATAAATAAGTGGTATAATTTGAGTCTATTAACTAAATTTATGCTAGTAAAAGTATTCATCTAGTTTATTAGGATTCTTCTTTAGATTTTGTTTGAAAAATTGACTGTACTAAAAAAATATTGAAAACCATGGACCTGGACCAGTGCTTTTTTTGTTTTGCTTGAAACTATTTTCCTTGGTCTTTTAAAGCTTCTGGGGTTCCTTTTTGGGAGGAAGAGAAGAAGGAAAAGGAGCAGATGGCACCAGCCCTTGCCTCAGCTTCCACACAGACAGAGCCCCCGCCCCCCGCGTTTTTGCATCTTACAAGATTGTAGTCTATATGCAGCTCCACCTGGTGGGGAAAACGTTAGCGGCCACTTGTCTGAGCCAGCCTCCAGGTGTATAGAGTTGGAACTGAATCTGAGAGGGTAAATAAGCTTCCCAAAGTTGAAAAACAGGTAATGGTGGAGCCAAGAGAAGAATACAACACAGAGCACTTCTGCCTCCCACCTTCCCTGTTGCCCATATTCTTTCCAGAAGCTCTGGCTTTTGCTTTCCTTAAATTGCCAGTTCTGCAGGGCACTTGAAGACATGACTTGGTTAGCTCAAGTTACATTCAAAACACAACTTTTCAGGTGTTTTAGTATTGGCTAAGCTGAGGCGCAAGATCTGGAACATTTAGTTGTGGAACAGAAGCCAAACAGGATCCACATGTGCAGACCTGTGACTCATTCTTTCCTCATTGTGTCCATTATCCTGCTCTCGGTGTTTAATCATAGCAGATAAGCATCGTGCATGATGCTTTTCACAATTTATTTTGCCATGTTAAAACTAAACACTGGAAATGAGGAGTGGGAAGGCTGCACCTTGAAGATTGCAGAATAAACTTGCCAGCTTCCCTTAGAGGATTTATGAGGATTCCAGTGGCCATCCCTCCTCAGGAAGCCTGAGGGTGTCTGGATGGTAGAGCTGGGACACCTTGTGTTTGTAGTCAGCACCCAGGATTCCTTGCAGGGTTTCTTCGGTTCACTGCAGTAAGACTGATCTTCTTTTATCCTCCCCCTGTCTCACTCACATAATGTCAGCTGTAAGGAATGGCTTCTGCCAGCTGTATATTTGTTTTATTGGGAATAATATTTAAATACTTAAAGACAGGCTTAAAATATCAAACACAAATTCATTGGGGAAAAAAAGGCAATGTACTTACATCTTGAAAATACAGGGTTAGTTGAAAATAAAATTTTATGAATTTCCTGTCCTCAACCCACAGATTGTCACTTTCTCGGTGCTGAACTCAGAAAAGCAGAAGGATTGTTTGGCAAAAAGTATCCTGCATTTAAAATTTGCATATCTTACGCCTGTATGTACATAAAATATTAATTAGTCTGACTTCATATACATTTACCTATGTGAATTTCGTTAAATGTTTGAAACAGTCACAGAAGACCAAGTGGGGGTATTTTGCTTCTGTGAAAACTGAGCAAATATGGGATGGATATTTTAAGGATATTGTCACTCACAGGAAGCTTGTGCTGGAAGGGACATCTGCTAACAGTTCTTTATGTCACCAAAAACATTATAGCAAAGTATCAAGTTAGAGGGTAATTCCCACTTTTGCTCAGACACTAAAACATGAAGGAAGTACTGAGTCCATATGGCCACCCTTACCCTTTGCTTTCTCGATTCACAGCCTGCGACATGAATGTTCACAAGCAGTGTGTGATAAATGTTCCCAGCCTCTGTGGAATGGATCACACAGAGAAAAGGGGGCGGATTTACCTGAAGGCTGAGGTCACTGATGAAAAGCTCCATGTCACAGGTAAGGCGTGTTTGTCCAGGAGCAGCATTTTTAAGGTCAAGGTCCTGTCAAGGCAGGGTGGGGCCTGGCCTAGAACCCTCTGAAAGCATTTATAATGACTGAATTGTCACTATCTTCAAGCCCAGCAGATGTGAGTTAACACATCTCCAGGAGACTGGTCTCTGCCCAAATTCCCAAATACTCAGTGTCATACAAAGTCACAAGCACTGTGTGGAGTGGCGTACTCCGACAGCATGACTAGTGTACTCTCCCTCCAAGGACAGGGGAATAAGGAAGCCAGTTAATCAAAATGCTGTTGTTGAGAGTAGAACTAGGGCCGGGGATTTAGCTCAGTGGTTCCATCGCCTGCCTCGAAAGCGCAAGGACCCAAGTTCGATCCCCAGTACCAAAAAAAAAAAAAGGAGAGAGGAGAACTAGGGCAGGGAAGGGTTGGATGGAGGATCCAGACGTTCAGTGGCATTGGGCCATGATAATCTGATGGATCCACCTGAAAGATAGTGACACCACTGGCTGTGGGCGTATTCTTCCCATGTGTTAGGCATGGTGTTGGAAATTTCACATAGATCATTCAGTCCTCACAACTACCTGATTGTTAGCCTCATTTTCCAGAAGAAGAAACTGAGGCATAGAGATATGGTAATTTACACCATTGTAGTTAGGGAACAGCCAGGATTGAAACAAAAGCATTAGACTCCAGACCACTGCTACTAATTATCACGCTATATGTACCTCCTACAAATGGCCCAGGCACAGATCAGAGTTCCCTGCCCGTGGTCCAGGATGCTTCCCTCTGAGGCTGTGTCTATGTGTGCTCCACAATATTCTGGTTTTTCCTTTGATTTTTCCCACCAAATCATGCATCAACACACTCAAGCCTAGTGGCTCCAGTTGTCCTGTCGCCTTAGTGGCCTGAGACCTATCCTGTGTCCTCAACTTGTCTTGACTTCTCTGTGCCATGACCCATTCCATGTTGATTCATGGCTTAAGTTAGATATCAACATTGTTTCCCTGCCCTCGGGGCTCCCTCTTGAACCACTCACGTGCTTGTTCTTTGGCAAGTGCATTTATTTTTGTCTGATCAACAAATGTATTATATTTTCATTTTTATTTAAAGATTTTAAGCTGTCATACATGTTGAGTAAATTGACTTTAATGTTATTTGTTTGTGAACAACAGAAGATATCCTGAAAGAAAGGCTGGATGGTGTCTGTTTAAGAAAAAAAGGAAGGGGGAAGAGTTCTAGGGAAAGCTTACTCTGGAAAACATCTTCACTTTTTAAAAAATTAAGCACCTTTCTACTCAATACTGTCCTCTCAGGTAAGAATGCAGAGAAAGCAAACAAAGGATTTTGAGGTATTTCTAGGAGAGAGGCAATACAGCTTGCCAGTGGGTGACCTCAAGGAACGAACCAGCTGTAGCTAATTGGCAAGATGGAATTGTGCATGAAATCCTTAGGCTAAGACCCTCTTTTGACTTTTGTGTTTTAGAGAAATTCCTTTTTTTCCTAACCACTCCTGTTGTACCCTTGCATTTGGGGCTATGGTTCTTACTTACATGTCCTTTTAATTCAGCTGAGGTCACTGGAGTCCACTCTGCCTTTCTCTCCGCTGATAGCTAGGACCTCTCTGCCTGGCACCCATGCTCTCTAGGCACCGTGCCCAGAGGAAGTACGGCTCCATAGGGACCACAAGCTTGGCCTTGAGAGCATTTGCAATATCACAGCTCTTCTTTTGTTTCTCTCCTTTCTATTAAGGCCCCTGCATTGTCAAATCCATGTACTGGGGGCAGGGAGCATGCAGTTTAGGAGGAAATTGCCATATAGTATCCATAGGTGGTAAAGGATTGATGAGCACAACTTAGAATATCTAGTGGCTAAACACTGCTATGCCTTTCCGTACCTTTCCCCCTATTTCCAATGCCACCCCTGTTGACAGTTGAATACACATCACAGGTGAACAGTCAGTGTAATTATGGGGCTTCAATGTGACATGGACTGGCTTTCTGTAAGGCAAGAATGCCTGCACGGAGTTTTTAAATGTTTAGCTGTTGTTCATTGTGTTTCTAGATAAAGCAAAACGCACAGAGCATGCCGAACTTGCCCTGTGCTTTCTACTGAAATAAAAGCAGCAGTCACATGGTGCTGCCTGAGTCATCCAGTCTCTTCTGTAAGTCCCAGAAGACCTGCAGATGTAAAGTGCACAGAGGGGCACAGGCACCCTGGCCAGGATGGCACATGGGTGAAAGAACAAGGTCAGCTCCCATCATACTAGGGTTTATATCATGCTAATTGCTTCACCATTGCCAAGAAGTGAGCTTGACTCACAGATATGGAATCATCTCAAGGGATTTTTATCTTTCACTGAGCTGGACATGGGTTTCACACATGAAAACCAACCAGCAACCGGTACTACTCACTGCCGCTATGTAGGTCATGTCTCTTGAGAATTAGTTTAAAACTCTTTAAAAAGGGATATATACCTCCATTAAGAATGTGAATGGAGCAATAATTTAATAATAATGCCTTCTTCCATTCAGACTGCTGTAACAAAATACCTTAGACTGGATAATTTATAAATAATAGAACTTTGTTTCCCATAGTTTTGGAGGCTGAGAAGATCAAGGCACCCACAGATTCAGTGTCTGGTGAAGGGCCCCTCTGCCTCGTAGATGGCACCTCTTGCTTCGTCCTCATGTGTTGAGGGGAGGAAGGCTGTGCCCCCCATATGGCAGAGGGCACAGACTCGCTCCCTTTACTCTCTTTTTAATAAGGGTGCTAATCCCTTATATGAGAGTGAAGCCATTGTAACTTAATCATTTCCCAAAACATTTCCCTTTTAGCACTGTCACTGGGGGGTTAAATTCCAACATACCCACTTGGGGAGGATACCGGTATTCAGATCATAGCAAACAATAATAGCATCAGTTAACACTCCATGATTTCCATAAAAGAGCAACATTTATAGGCGAGCTTATTTAACAGGTTCCTGCCAGCATGTAGAGCTGCCTGGCAGCAAGACAGAAATATGGCCCCATTGTGAATATCTGTGAAGACACTGACTATCGTGCTTACTTTATAGATGAAGAAATCAAGGCACAAGGAAATGAATTTACTTGCAGAATGGCAAATTTAATGGTTAAATATTTCAATTATACTTTATTGATAGTACCAATGAAAATTGGAATTTGTTTTTTAAATATGGTTACTGGACTGGAGAAGGTTTAGCTGAGTGGTAGAGCACTTGCCTAGCATGCCCAAGGCCTTCACTTGGGTTCTATCTTCAGCACCATAAAAATTTTGAAAAGTTAAATAATTAGTGTGAAAGAATTCTAATTTTAAATACAGAGTTCTAATTTTAAATAAAAAATTCTAATTTTAAATGTCAAATTCAACAAAATAACTAATTAGTAATACTATCTTGAGAACTTTTCGTTTGAAGTAATTGCATATTTTCAGAAAGGTTACAAAAGTAGTATAGAGTTCCTGAGTACCCATATCCCTGATGTTAGTATCCTTGCATCAGGAAAATTTAAGTATCGAGGTAATCATATTTTGAATTAGTATCTGATACATTTCTGAAAAGTAGTACCTATGCTCATCACTAGGAATTGTTTTATTCTTTTTTATTTTCTTTTCTTTATTTTATGAAACAAAATTCCGCAACAAAAGAAGAGAATATCAGTAGTCAATACACTGTGTATTGTTATCTTCAAAGTAGTTACTCAGAATATGACATCAATACAAAGATTCTTCCTTACAAAGAAGAAACATATTAGCACAAAACTTTCTTTCCAGTACGCTGAGAGAAACTAGTAATATGAATGAAACAAATTAGCATAAGTATTAAAATATTTTTGAAGCACAGAATAGATAATTTGGAGAACCATCTGAACCTTTCCCCATTCCTATTCATCTAGCTCCCATTCGCCTCATTTGCATAGATATACTTTGAGTTTCTCACGTAAGGGAAATCGTGCCATATTTAAGCTTGTGTGTCTGACTTATTTCACTTAACATTATGTTCTCGCTCAGAATTGTTTTAATGAGCAAAATGGAAGACATCAGACTTATGTTATTCCTCTGTAAAGGAACTGCAAAGCACACCAAGTGAAACCCAGTACAGCAGTCCTGTCACACAGGTGGCATTCCCTCCTATTCCCTACCTGTACCTCCTCCCCCGAGCAAATACTTCAGGTAAGAGTTGGTCTTGAGAAATGTTTTGGATAACAGTAGCTACCATTCATCAAGTGCCTACTGTGCACTTGCCATTCATAGAACTTGACCTTTCTTTGTGCTGAGCACCTTGTGTTCATTGTTTTATTTTCTCCTCAAATGGTCCCTTAAAATTAAGTACTATTATCAGCTGTTTCCACCCTGGACCTAGCCCATTGTCCTGGGGTTGTTGCAGCTCAAGGTGCCCCCATGCCTTGAACTCTGGAGTGAAGAGAGTTGGGCCAAACCAACAAGGAGCTCAGCCACCAGGGGATAATAAACAGGGGACAGATAAGTGGTGCCAGTCAAAATGAGTGTAGGAGGGGAAGGATGATAATTCTTTAAAAGGTGTAGAGCAATTGTATTGCAAAAAAATTTTTTCTAGAATTTAAATGAAGTGCATTTAAAATGAAACATTCAGTATGGAAAAGACACCAAGAAATTGCTAACGGTGATTGTCTTCAGAGCTGGGGACAATGGATGGCTAGGGGACCAGGGTAAGAAGACAGCTTTTTTTCATTGACATTTGGTACTGTGTCCAAAATGACATATCACGTATGTATGCAGTTAGGTGGTTGAATGAATAATTGAATGAAGTATTTAAAAAACCAAGCAGTGGAATCTTTTCATATAACATTACCATTGTTGCAGACATCTTGAATATCATTTATGATTGTCACTGCTTATAAATATAATTGTTAATAGTATCACAAAAAAATTAAGTACTATTACATCTTCACTTTTTAGATGATCTGAGGAGCTGACAGAAGGAAGGAAATTGCTCCAAGTC